TTGAATAATTTCTGCACAGCCTCGCCAAAAGCCTTGTTCTGGGAGTCTTGGTCGAACTGGTCGGCAATGAACTTGGTCTCGTCGATGACACGGTCAGTGTGGCTACGGTACTTCTCACGGAGCAAGAACCTGCCCTTCTCATAGAGGCGGTTCCACTGCTTGTTAGAGGATTCGTCGAGAATGTAGCCTTGCTCCAGCAGGCACCGGCGAATAAAGTTGTCCAGGCTCTTGAACCAGTCTTTAAGCTCAGCATCCTTGTCCGCATCCTTGTAAATCTGGCCGATGGACTCCCAAAGATTCGAAGTAGACGTTCCATTGGCAAATCGCTCAATCAGTGTACGCAGATCGGCCTCGGCAGCTGCGAATCCAGAGCGAGCCTGCTTAGCAGAGCCGGTAGATTCCTTGCCCAAGTCACGTCCATGGCTTCCATAGGTCTCGGCTAGACGGAGGAGAGTCTGAATGGCCTTGGAGTATTCGGGATGCTGCTGGCACTCAAGCACCATCTTCTTGAGGCGGAAGATTATTTGGTCCTTGCGCTCCTCCGGCATCTTCTTGTTGAAGTACTCCTTGGCTCTTCGACGATATTCCTCTTTGCTCTTCTTGATCTTCTCCTTGGTCTCCGGGTCTATCTTCTCATCAACCTTCTGCTGCACAGCACTCTGTGCAGCAACGGTGTCAACTCTGTCAGAATTTACTCCCTGGGGCAGTGCAGCATTGGTTGTGGAATTAGCAACGTCCTGCGCGTCTTTCTTCGGACTGCCGCCATAGAAGCCCTTGGCTTGCTTTCTAAGGTTCTCTTTCGAGAAGTCGGGTTTGTCGTGCCAAGTATTATCTTCGGCGGCCCGGTCCATTTGTCCAAGTTGCTCCTCCGACGGGCGGATGCGACCAGCAGCGCTAGTAGCGGCATCGCCGGCCAGGTCGCGGAAGAGAATAGTGGTATCCTTGACTGTCTATCGGTTAGCTTGAGGTTTAAGGCTCGAGGGTTGTAGAGCCAACATACGTAGCTTGCGGAATTGGCCATTGGTAATGAGCAGAGTTCCCAGGGTTCGGAGACCTTCGAGAGCCTCATCACTGTCGCGCTTGGCCTGGTCCTTATTCACCGGCGCATTCGGACCCTGGACAGACTTGGGATCAAACTGAGTGGTTTGCCAGATAAAATCCTGGATTAAATTGCCCTCGTTCTTGGAGAGCAGGAGGTTCTTGGCTAGTCGAACCACCTCTCTGGTGTCCGCGACAAGAATCTTGCCATCCTCGGAAAGATTCTCTGGAGGGGTGCCGAGTGCTTTGGAGGCGAGGAAGCTGTTCAAGGCAACATCAATTTGGTCGTTCTAAGGCCCGTATTAGTTTGTGAAGCCAAAGCTTTTGATTTGGCGCGTATTCTCGTTCGTATAACCTACAGAGGGGACTTTGCCTTGCTTGAAAGCACTGAAAATGCCGTAGATTTGAAGTTTTCGGTTGATATCCGCCTCCTTCTGCTTGATATCCGTAGGCTTGTTGACGTTGGCAGTCATTTTGGACCGTTTATTTGTGATTAGTACTGGTATTTCGAACGTTTGTGGGTATATGCGGATATTGGGTACAGGCTCTTAACGCCTAGGGGAGGTCGAGTTTTGTATCTTTTGTTACAAAAAGCAAGGGTATAGACAGAGACCTCAATTCGTCCCGGGGTATCACAAGATCAGCTTGTTCGTTACAGTGGGTATATTGGGAGGGTGTAGATTAAGGGATGGGAATTATAGTTTGGATGGGAAGAGAAATCAGAGTCGAGACAGATTCATACCGCGCATAGGGGGCATGGAAGAGCTTATAAGCAGGAGCGACAGGGGACGGACTACAGGATTTGGGAACCACCTGCTCTTCCAACCCGAGCGCCATGAAATCTGGAGGGATTCCGTCATGTTGGGCTCAGTGCATAACTGGGCCGGCGTTTGCCAGAACCTTGATTAAGCAGGGAGTGTGGGTGACGTTAAGAGAAGCAAACGAGTACGTCATCGACGATGCAACACCAACGACATGGATCGAAGCTCCGTAGCCAGGGGCAGGTTTGCAGTGCCATTGCTAGGCTAGGGACATGGACGAGACTGGGTGAGTAGTACGGAGTACCGTCCGCCTGTTTGCCCGCGTCCATACGATTTCGGTAGCCGGGCAGCGCCACAATGACTCCCACCATGTCTTGTTCTGAACCGCTCAGTGGCGCCTGAATTTAGCCGTATCTGTAACTTGTCCAAAACTACTCCGTACGGAGCAAGTATCTTACAACACAGACGAATTAGGTCGAGTCGCAGGTCGGTCGAGACGTTCCATTGGCAAGGACGAGAAATTGGGATGAGGAGGGGTGTGGGTGGAGATGGTGATCTGCGACAGCCGTCGATGGGCCACCAGCAGCCGATGCAAATGTACCCTGGCGAGCTGATTTGACCCTGTGCAGCGTGCGGCGTGCCTTAGTAGTACTTGCAATGGCACAACAAGGTTATTGCATGTCGTCCAGGTCGTCTGGCGCAGAGCGATAGTGATGCGTGCTAACAAGGCGGATTGGGTTGGGAGGGGGGGGGGTTGAAATTTTGTGCTTGTGTGTCCTTCTGCATGTTTATCGTAGTAACCGGGAAGGAGCCTGGGATGCACCTTCCTCCCCTTTTGGCAAGACAAGGCAAAACAAAATGCTTCCAACGTTCATCAGCATTGAGCTCTCGGTTTCACGTCTGGACTGGCAACACTACGACATCGATACTATGCTCGGTTTCTGTCCGTATGTACATACACATGTATGCTTCGCCAAGTTACAGGGCGAATGCATACCTAGGTATTTATGGCGATACCCCGGCAACAACAACATCCCTTCGGTCTCGGTTGTTGCAATAGGCCAGTTGTTAATGACACGACAAGCAAGACCCACGACGTCCTTTGCTGTCGACCTGATGCTGTTGCTTGGCAGCTTGAGCGTTCTTATTGTACACGACAGAGACACTTTTATTTCACAGATACGGTGGTATCCAGCTTCTGGCCCCCTTGGATACGTCGTTTGTGCACCATATCTCGGCATACGGCCGTTGCAGTGCGTCGCCCATCGATTTCCCGCGCGACAACAAGATGTTCCCCATCCCCTGCGCCTCACACCAAGCGAGCTGGAGGTCAGATCGAGCTGGAACGACCCATTATGCGCCCCAATTGCGGGTCATTACCGCCTGCTTTCCCGCTCATCGTAGTGGAACTGAGGGGGCCAGCGCCAAAATTCACAATATTGAATGCAAACATGTGCTCTTTGGGTAGCTGTTGATACTGCTGGGCCGATACTGAGTATACTAACCAACACAGCTTCAGCGCGCAGATGAACCCCGAGCCACAAGCCTCGATACGACTGACAAGTAGAGACAGTATCGATGCAGTGGGCACACACGAGCGAACCTCGGAGATTCGCTACGCTAGATCAATACTTACTTCTACCGGTCGATCAGTCGCTGCCCGAAATAAACGCCAGCGCTCTTTGGTGGCCAGCCGCGATTGACTTGGTGCCGTACATACGGAGAAACCCCGTTGCATCTCAGATACAACAAGCGCAACAATCCATGACGTCAAGGTGCGAATGAAGCCTAGCTCACCCTAGCAAAGCTGGAATATGGCCTGGCAAGCGCAATTAGTGGTGCGATGTTCCCTGGCTGTGGGTCGAGTGGCCTTGACTAGACCTGGGCAGAAAATTGAAGGGCAGTGTTCGCCAAGCTTCGTTAGTCCCGTCCAGCAAATTACTCGCCAAGTCTGAAAACAGCACAGTCATCAGTCAATCTCCTGAAATGGATGGCTACGGCTGGTTGTATCACCTCCAACACCCCCGGAGACTTGAGATGGTCGCGTGCATCAACGCTTTAGGTTTCATCCACTTGTCCATTCACGCCCTGATGAGGATTGGGTGCTTCACCTCACACTAGAACTGGGACCACGCAGCACTTTGTTTGCGATGGAAGGCTGTCCATCTTAACAATGATGCTAGCTCTTGTCCTACAATGCTGATATCCTTTGGAATTGTAGGCGTCACAAGGAGCAGCTTTCCAAGGTTTTCAGACACCTAGCCTTATAATAACGTCTAGTCAATACCACAGATGAGGTGATGGGAATACAATACACGCTTCGCACACCACGGATCTAAAAGCTGCGCCATCAATGGCATCATTTTGCCATCATCCTACGCATATGCCGCCACGGCTTAACACTGTGGCGTGTACGGAGCACATATGGACCATTTCATCCGTTTGGACGCAGCGGTCTCCGATTGAGCTTGGAGGCGCACAGAGACTGGGTTGTATAGTGTGCGACTCTTGTCGCGTGTAACAGCGGCCAAGACGCATCAGAGGTTGTTGATGACAAAGGACTGTACACTTGGTCCAGACTGACCATTCTAGCTACATGCTGGCATGCTCCGAGCACATATATCAGCCAGACTACCTACCTCGGTAGATATCCAAGGCCAGGCTGAACACCACCAGGCACCATTCGCATCGACTTTTCTTAGTCATGTGCACCCGGCATAGTTACCATCACTGCTCAGTCTATTATAACCCTGTATCGTCCACGTTTTCATGACCAAGCCGTCTTATACAGGCCTTGGTATTTCGGATCCGAATTTGCTATAGGGTAAGTATCGCCAAAAGCTAGCGGTCCGTACTTCTATATTGGCTTTGGGGCCGGGCCAGGAGCTTCATTTGTTCATTTTGGGTCTTTATCAGTCCATCATGCGTAGCTGGGTGGGCTACCATTACCACGGCGATTAAACGACAACTTGTGAAAGTAGGCGAGCAAGTCAACGAACCAAGACGCATAATATGTGTACTAGGTTCTTATACAAACTATAAAGGACATCTGTACTACACACCGTACACATTATATTCGCGGATTTGCCAGCTGCGCGTTTCATAAGTCGTATCAATTCATAGTCTGCCAACGCCATCTAAATGTATTCCTTATAGCATCAAAGCATCACCACCAAGCCTGGCATGCGGTATAACATAACATCATGCGTTCCTGGCACCCAACTCATTAAACACCTTGGCCTTGATCTCGGCCGCCATCAGACCCGATCTCTCCTTTGTCGCAATCAAGCTTGTATCCTGGGTCAGCTTCTCGATAGTCTTGTCCTTAACAGCCGGGCCGCCACCGCCCATTCCCTGACCTCGGCTCCGCGCCATGCTTGTCGTGACTTCTTTGATCTTGGAGCTCAGGTCGAGCATTTGCTTGCTCCCAAAGTCGCGGTTCGTCAGCAGCGGGCTCTGGCTGAGCGTCTGCACCCAGTACTTGTGCCAGAGGAGCTCGAGCAGGTGGGCGTCGAGGGTGCTTTTGAAGTGCGACACCTCGAGGCTGTAATACCGGCTGGCGTGGGCACCAAACTCGGCGGCCTTGGCCAGAGGGACGGTCTGTAACCCGTCGGCCGCGTCAGCCCCGGCGCCCTCGACCTTGTGCGAGTGCGGGTATGTTCTGAAGGCGCCAATGTCGACTTTGCCGGCGTTGATGGTGCGGTCGGGGTCGATGACGACGGCGAGGAATGGGTCCTGGAACTGCTGCTGCATTGCCTCGGTCGCGACGTCGATGCCGCTGAGCCAGCATCCGTACCCGGGGTGGGAGTGGTACCATCCGACCACGTTCTCCTGTCTCCCCTGGGCGCGGCACAGGTCGAGGTATTCCACGAGGTACTCGTTTGCTTCTTCCTGTACGTTGACTCTGGTCTCGGTTCCTTCGACGGGCAGCCGGAAGGCGTCGGTGACGACAAAGGTGTCGCCGTCGACGTAGCCCTGCATGAGGCCCATGACCTCGAGGTTACCGCCGGACCGGGCGTGCATCGTCATCTTTATGAGGGCGACGGCGCTGATGCGGACGCGCTTGAAGTGGTTGGGGTCGCGGGCCCATGGTTTCTCTTGGTTTATGGATTTCTGGCCTTGGGCGTCGTAGTTGTACAGGGCGTCGCGTTTGGGGTCGACCAATTCGATGTTGTTGTCGAGCTCTGTGACGGGTCAGCTTGGTGGGTTTTGTGGCATCAATGACGAGATACACACCCCATGATTTCAGAGCCGTCTCCATCTTGGCCGCAGTTGCGCTGCCGTCCTGACAGCTTGGTGTGATGGAGGTTGGAGAGGGACCGCGTGAGTGTTTGTCCATGCAGGAGCTTGAGGCCCTGCTGCCCCGCACTGGCATCAAATTGGTGGTTATCGATAACAGACAGCTTCAGCACAGGCGAATATCCTGCACATGTGGCAATCAAATCGAATCACTCCGTGTCGAAGAGCTCCGAAGCAGAAAACGCCCGAATAAATAGAAAAATAATCACTTTCTGAGGACGATGACTACGCATTGTCTTAACGATAGTGAGTGCTAGTATTGGCACATCCTCATACTAATTGTCTTCATGATGCTCCAGATCAGGGAGCATAACTGACTCCTACACATTGCGCTCTTGCGAACCTTATCATCAGGCTAGCACCTAAATATCTTCCTACCGGACCTAAGTAGGTAAGTAAGCTTGGACCATCGTAACGACTAGGTATAATCTCAAGTTGAGCTCGACCCTGCCTTCTCCCTAGCGACTGTGCAGCAACCGCACCGACACATTGCGAGGTACAGTCTCTGGAATGATTAAGAGCCGAGACTTGTTGACGTCATTTACCCATCTCTCAGTTTTGGAAAGAGATGTACATTCTCCATCCTTTGCAGTTCTGGTCATCACCAGAGCAGAATTTAACTCAATTGTGGCTGAAGACAGCCCCATATTGAGTTAGCCGGTTCCATGGTCTAACGGTCATGACTGCGGATTCTGATTCCGCCAGCGAGGGTTCGACTCCCTCTGGAACCTTTTCTTTTGCCGGTTTCGACAATTGTGTCAAGATGAATTCTGGCTCGGGTTCCCGCGGGCGCTTCTTTTTTGTCTGCCGAGCCGAAACTCGAAGCCTGCCGCTGCCGAGTGCGGTAATCTGGGTCGACGGCATCGCGAAGATTCTTACATCGGCCGCCCGCGATGCCAGTCGGAAATGACCTCGTTTCGCGGCTCTACGCAGGGCAGCAGACTGTGGAGCGGCTCTCAAAAAGGCCTTGATGGGCGTGAAGAATTGCCAGTAAATCGGCGAGCGTCAAGAGCCAAAAAGCCCAAATTCCTCGGTCGCCCGGCTCGGTATTTGCTGCCTCGGTCAGCCGCACACTCTTGGCCGCTGACAGGCGCACTGCCAACCTATCCTGGGAGACGGCCAAGGCAGCAGGATACCAAAAATCGCTTCGTGTGTCGCTGCTCGTCGTTTTGCGAAATACGAAAGCCCAACGTGGCTTGCGTGGCGTTTCCCTGCGGCTTCAACACCTGACAGCCAAGGCGGCGAGAATGCACCGGATGAAGCCTTGTCTATATATTGACCGAGCTATGCTGCTCTTGTCAGCGGCGACTAGGGGAACACCACATGCAGCCTCTTCAACTGACTTTTCAGGAAATCATGGCTTTCCACTGCGAAGACGCTAAGCCGGTGCTCGTCGAAAAGCGCCTCCCCGGCATTGCTGCGACGTCTTTTGACACCATGGCCGAGTCGGATATCACGCCGCTGAAGAGCCTGGCTCGGTGGCCGCGACATATTCGATGCCCCGGGTGTCGACAGTTGTCTGTTACGAGGGTTCGTCGCAAGATAAGCAGCGGTACACAGTACGTTTTCTTTACTTGTAGGCCCATCGTCGAGAATATGTTGTTAATAGAATCAAGTTTCATGGCCGGCCTGTTCTTTCTATGTAGTGTTTTGGGGAGCGTGTATCCTTACTTCTCCAAGACATACAAGGATGTGGAGCATAGTTGTTGTCGGTGCGGGTGTAAGTTGGCGACGTATCATGTCATGAGTGGCACGGAGATTCACGTCTTTTAGACTGTAGACAGGGTAGGTCAGGAGCCGGATGTTGGATGTTGGATGTTACAACCGTGGGAATGTTACTGAAGACGGTTCCGGCAGCAGTTGCTGTGCGATGTGGCTATATTCTGTTTGTATATCGGCGGCAATACGAAGAAGAGCACACTCTTTCAGAATATAATGCGGGTGTCGGCTGTTTGATTCATCCCCAGTATTCTACGTCATATACTGAAGTCATACTATAGATCGGCATCATCGGGTGGGCTAGTTTATAGTCTCGGGAATAGGATCGTAAATCAAGTCGGTCATGTGCCTTTTTCTAGCTCCCTCATAGTTGTTTTTCGATGCTGACAGGTCAATCAACACGTTTCATGGCCTACATATTCAATGTAAAGTCTGGCTCACAATATTGAGCAGTTGGTCTCGGCCGTAATTTGTGATGGCTCCAATGCCGAAAAGCCCGTTTGGTGCGCTAGGGGGGCTCTGAAAGTGCTCTCGGTTGGAACAAAAGCATCGGGGTTGCGATATCAACAGTCTTGACACGCCAGATTTCGGTTGCAAGCAGCGTAAACAGCCGTAGAATTCGGTTTCTAAAAGACTTGCAATGACACTACCCTAGAACCAATCCCTGGTCTTAGTACACTAACATAAACTTCAAGCGATAAGAATGTATAATGAAGAATCAAAATAGAAAGTCTTCCGATTCTCTGTCGGCGCCGCACCAATGTATGTGATGGTGACATACACACTGGCCTGGTTACTTCTAGGACGCCGATATCTGGCTCAATGGCAAGAAGTCCCTCATGAATATTATGTACTCTATAATTGTCACCATTATATTTGGGATAAATTAATTAGAAGGGATTCGTCTCGAAGCAGTTCAGAGGATCATATGCCTACAGGAGCAGCAGGATGGTCTTCTACGCCACAAGGGGCTGGGTTCAATTTCTTCAACAGCCTGATGCTGAAGATTTTCCAAAAAGCTCTATTGACGTATTTAAGGCTTTCAAGGAAGATGGATCAAACGACCCTGTTCATCGGACGAATAACTGCTCAGATTGCCCCGGTTGAACCCTCGAAGTCGGGATATTACCAACATCCACGAGCATCAGACCAGCTATACGCATTGGCAGGCTGAGACAACACCGGCGTGTCTGAATCTTGATGAACATACCCGTTTCTATATAGTAGTCCTCGAGAGCGATGATCAGCAATGGCTCTATACCGTTCGGCCCTGTTGAAGCACAATCTTCAAAGCCTGCGAATCCCCTTCTCTGACACCCTCGAACGCCCTCATTACACACTCCTAATTTCGCTCTACACAACGCCAGCACCCTCAAATATGTGGCTCATCAAATCATCAGAATTCCACTCCTCGTACATGACATCCCCCCTAACGCCAACCCCCCTCAGGGGACACATCCCCAACTCCCTACCCAACTTCCTCCTTAAGACGACCCCAAATCTATTATATCCCTCGAAAAATTCATCACAAAATGTACACCCACGGTATCCATAGCAAGAACACCAACTCCAACAAACTCTGTACAACCTGTCGAGAGGCGTCCACTCCAAGGCCAGTCTTATACCATGCCCTCCATCCCCGTCAACCAGGTAGACTTGCCAACCACAGGCCTCCATGCCAAGGACAGGAAACGTAGTACTACCAGTGAACAACGACCCCCATCAGGCCGTTGGCCAAACTCCCTACTAGTATCTCGTTATCAACACAAGGGCGCTTCTCCCACTCAAAGCGGCCAGCAGAGTCGTACAGAAATTTCCGCCAAGATCACCACGGCGACACGCGACAAACCCATCATCCATCGATCCAATAAGTAACCTTGAGCTTATCGACCCGGCGCCCCCCTACACTTACTTCACGCCGCCGCCGTATTCCATCGCAATCAGCTCATGTCCCGCTTTCCCCGGCGGTGCCACTCACCACCATTATCACGCTTTTCCTTGCCGATAATCGAAGAAGCCTACAATCCCTCTCCATCAACCACCCAATCACATCTTCTTGGAGAGGACATGTCCGCGGAGCATTCCAGTCTTGGCAGGCATTCCTGCGACGAACAAGCACCGTTGGACGACGGGGCCGTGATCAAGGCACTGCCCCCCAAGCTTCAATGACGTCTGGTATTCGAGGAGTGAGTTCCTATGCTGTGGGACCATACATACGATTTGGACACGACCGGCGCCTTATCAGCAAGACTCGAGGGAGGATATGCCGTCGCCCCGCGTGGGGAAGCACTTCCCCAGAGAGAATCTGCACCCAAGGCATTCGATATCCTGCCTTTGTGGTTCTGCCGTTCGATTCGGGCTAGGGATGTGATCTCCAGGTCTACGAGGCTATTCACCATCTGGAAAAGAGCCTATTGGGCTTGAAAGTCAGAGCTGCAGAGTCAGGTTCTCGTTGAACGAAGTCGCAAGTATTACATACTACTTGATTGTACACTCGCCAGATACCCTGACGTGATATTAGATACAATGTGCTAGTCCAAACAAGTTGGATTCGTGACCCCTTGCCGCCAGGTCGATAAAACCATGCCAGCAAGACAACCGGCGTCAAAACCACGGGGGCAGCATCGCGGGATGCAATGATCTCATCCGCCGAGGATGACGCCCAATATAAATGGCGTTTTGCTCGGGAGCAGAGGTCGTGATTTAGGTTCAAACTTGGCACCTATATGCTACAAACCGCCGTGGTTGGCTGAGTGAGGCCAGCTTGGAAAAGCATCAAGATCTGCTCTGCCGACGCATAGCACCAGTCTTCGATACACGATACTAATTCTTCGGACGTGGATCAAGATTCACCGACTGACAGGCACAATTTGCTCCATTTGTAGGCCGTCGTCCTGTGAAAGGCAGTATTTTGCCACCAGCCCGATTCTTCGTCAAGATGGCCAAGCACAAGTATAACCACCCCCTTCAACCATGACTGGACTTCCCATTACAGCACGCCCATCTGGCTTGTTCACACGTCACGGACATCAGCCGAGTTACGCACCTTCAGAATGCTCTGCACGTGTAGACTTAGAGGCTAGGCCTGCTTCTCGGTCTACAAATCCTTGCTCTGGATCCATGCGCATCGACAAAAGTCTCAAAACCTATGACAAAGGGACCTTGTTGATTTTCCCTTGCAGGCATCGGATATCGCCAGTCCTTTCCCGCCCCCTGTGCTTATGCTCAAAATCCAATAAAGCAATTATCCGTCCCTATTAGGCAAGTCGCAATATACCGGGCTGGGATAAAATTTTCGGACATGAACCCCGCAAATGGAGAGATGCTATTTAGTGGACTGCGATACTCCATGGACACACGCATCACAATAGTAATAATATCATTCCTATCAAGGGAAGAAAGGTTCCAATGGCTGCAACTGGCTGTGCCGCGGGGGGCGCTATCCGTGCCTTGCGGCGTTGTAATACTATTCCAAACTCATCAAATCCTCCACAAACCCGATAGCCGACGGTGTTGAAGCCCCATCGTCCAGCTCTGACTAACATGTAGCGTTGGGTACCCATGCATCCTGCATGCAATGTGTCCAGAACTGTTCTCCCGGGAAAGGTCGTGTGGTTGCACCAATAAATGCAAGCAGTAAAATAAAAACATCATGATAAATGTTCGAGGTTCCTGAGACAAACCCTGTTCGTAAGGCAAAAAGGTATCCTGAAAATGCTAGACCGCTTGTTCATACAATGCCCTACCCAATGCCCACGCTCCCAATGCCCAAAAGAAAAAAAACAAGGAAAAGAAAAAAGAAAACTCAACCGGTCATGCGCCAAGTTCCATGCTGCAAGTACCTGCATATACCACCCCCATCTAAGGAACAAATCAACCAGCGGGAAGTCTCCTGAATAAAAAAGAAAGCAAAGGGGAAAGGAAAAACATCATTATGTAGCAGGAATTTAGTGCGCTCTCCCAACAATTGCAGGGATAACCAAATCACACCTGCCCGGACATTCCGCGTCGCTTGACTCGCAGCTGAATCCAATATAATCTTGACCGCCGTACTTGATGGAGCCGCAATCAAATACTCCATATTGTGGCAGGTCATCCCACCGTGTGACAGCCAACAGCCAACTCATAAAATGAATTGGGCGCAAGGGAGATCATCTCTCTGATGCGAAATATGGGCTCTCAAAGAGACAAAGAAAGAGATGAATCGATGTGTGAAGGAGGGCCATAAGCGTCAATAGACCCGTGGACAAGTCGCATTTGTCGCCTTCCCCCCCCGGCCAGCAACTAGTTCTCACCAAGGCGTGTGTGGGCCTCCCATTGGATTCTTTTGCATAGGGCTCAAGTCAGGTTTCCGTTCCAAGACTTCAATGTTGGAATGCGGTGCCTTGCAGAATGCGCAAACCCCAGGGGCAGATAGTGTTCGTCGTTCCACTGCGTCGCTGTCCGCTCCGTCCGTGGAACCCTCAACCACATAGATGAGCCTTTCTTTTCGCAGCTCGGGTCCAATCTCGGCATTTTCCTCGAGGCCGATTCGGTACGGTTTCCAAAATGCTTCGACAGCGGGGCCTCGGCGGATCGCGTTGCACACCTCCCCTTCCATTGGCAGATTGCTGGGTCGCAGCTCTTGGGTCCATGGGTCTGGCCCTGTAAAAGTCGCTGCTGCAACGTGCCGCTGCATGAAAGCCCCATGACGTGTTGCACGACTTCGTTGCCAATTTGTAGGGTCCCGAGGCCCCTTGCCCTGGCACAGACCAGAAAAAACTTTTTCGCTGCCTTGTTCCCACGATAGAGTCGCATGTACGTGCTCCGTAAGCCTCCTCTTCCAGGACGACATATCTGTCGCACCTCTGATCTGATGATACTAGCGCCCGTCGGAATGGCAGGCTGGGCCGTTGGGTGGCGATATGTTCATCAGATACGTAGTGGTACGTACCCCGTAGTGCTACGGTATCTCACGCAACTAGCACGGATGCGTCAGAGGTACCCACCTTGCCGGAACACCATTCGAGCCAACTTCGTAGGGCTTCAGTGATGCTTTGCGTGGCGGGAGAGCCCAGCGAGCCCGGCCTGGCTTCTGATTGTCAAGCTTGCCTCGGCGCCGCATCGCCATTTCCATTACTGCAATACGGATAAAGTCGGGATTCTCCCGCATTTCTCGCTGGCGCATGCCTGGGACGGCAAAAGCCTGTTGGCCTGGCCTGCCTGGGTGTTGATTGGGGGCGGATGCAGACTTGGACGGGTTGCCAGCAGTATAGGCCGTGCGCTGTGACGGTGGGGCGGATTGAGAACGCTGGACCTTGTAGGTTTGCATTTGAATCGAAGCTGAAAAAGCGCCTGCGCGTGTCTTTGGTTGAGGGTCGATGTGAGCACTTGTCGTAGGGTTGAGATAGCGGCGTAATTCAGCCGATGGCATCTCCTCAGTCATCGGCGGGCGTCGTTCATCCATGTATGGAACATTCGGGTCAATTGTAAGAATAGACCGAGTGAGAAAGTCATCCGGCGGAATGGACGGGAAGTTGATGCTTGAAAAAGACTTGGCTGCCGAGCGCAAGGCTCGTAAAGAAGCTGTCAAATTTGATTTGAATGCAGACCGCAGCGGCTTGAAAGGCTGCAAGAATGAAGTGGACCCCTCATCTGAAAGTTCGGCAGCTGGCATCTTCAGATCTTCCAGGCCAAGGTTGTCAACGACCGCAAGAGGATGCTCCTCGGCACCATCTTCGGATGGCGACTGAATAGGTTCCAGGGACCTGCGCACCGGGCTGTGCTTACGCCGCGCCGAGACACCAATGCTTGCAGGCGTATCAACTGAAGAGCACACATCGGTAGCAAAGGACTCTCCTCCGAGCGATGGAACAGAGTCTGCGGAAGTAGTCCTGGCAAGCATTGAGCCCATGTTGCTCTCAGTGGCGCTGAAATCATCATCCATCAAATCTTCTGGTGGCGACAACAGTAAGTCCATAGGTCTCCGACTGAGAGACAAACTAAGCTCTTTTTCCGATACATGTTGGTCGTTCACAATCTCATCAACGGTAAGAGGCGAATCGGCCTTGCGTCGTCGTCTTTGGGGTCGCGGGATGTCAGTCACGGCAAGGAGGGCTGCAACAGACGGCGAAATCGAATCTGGAGTATGAAAATTTTTGGGGGTTCGTCGATGATGTGAAGTTTCCAGCTTTACATGGTGACGGGCGTCACGATGGCTTCGCTTGGGGATCTGGACAGGACTCGTCGGCGTTGTCGGTCTACGCAGACAGGTGGTGGTGCCGGGGGAGCTCGACGGAGGTAGCGTAATGCTAGCTTCCCAGTTAACTGCGGTTCGTATTGACATTGCAGCATCAAAGTCTGAAGATGCTGAGCTGGTAGATGAGCAACTCGAAGAGGCCGAGCCAACGGATTGTATGGTGACTGAAACTGCGATGTCTTGTTCGTCTTGGACGTCCTCCGCTGTGCTCGGCGCATACTTGGGTGTTAGCCGGCTACGACGTAAAGCAGATGGCTCAACACTAAGCGCGTCGTATGATATAGGTTTTGCCGAGGTCGTCTGGTTATGAGAACGGTATGCTTTGAAAGGACGAGAAGGGGGGGGAGAAGATGGGGCGGGCTGCGCCGGGTAACTCGAGAATAAGAAGGATCTCATTGTTCTGGGAGGGAGTCGAGATAGCCACAACAACTGACGGGGGCATGCTTGCACACCAAACTGGACGGGTTGGATAGGCCAAGAACTGTGGTACACACACAATAGACCAGGGGCCAAAAAGACCACACTTGGGTAGCAAAAGTGACAACCTGGAGCAGTGTGGCTCTCGGGTTTCAGGGGACCGATGTCCTGGGACGGGGGTCTGAGTCGTCAAAGATTTGAAGGCCGATACTCAATACACAGCGGTGCAGCTTCCGGCTTCCCGTGTAAGACTAGAAGCCTGGGCACCTGGGGAAACGTGGCTCGCACTGCTGGAGCCGATGGTCGTGTGTAGGCAGGATTCTGATACGTAACGAGCGAGGGCCTGCGGTCTCGTGTGGTCGACAGCGAAGGCTCCACAAGAATAGGACAAGGATATCAAAGCCTGAGAAAGGCAGGTCGCCCCGGCCAGCCGCAGCTAATCAGAAGCCGTCAAATTCGAGGGTCGCAGCGAAGAACGGAGGCGGCGATTACGTGACTGTACAACGCAGCCTGCTCTGGCTAGCGATAAGGTCGCTGTTGGACGACGTGCCTTGCAGCGGCAGTGGCAGCGGCAACGGCAACGGCACTGCTCTCTCCGGTCAAAGAGGCTGAAAGACGCTGGTATGGCTCGGCGGCAGAGACCAAAAGTGAAGAAAAGAAAGTTAAGTTTGGGGAAGCGGCACGAAGCAAAAGAAACGGGGGGATAAGCCTCACAGATAGCGACGAGGCAGAACTTGGTTCATTTGCCTTTGGCCTTCGTGTACTGGGCTAAGCGACTACTCCGTAATACGCATGCTGGGCCGATTTCGAGTGACGCTGGTGGACGACTGACGGCGCCAGACAATGACTAGTTGATAACGCCGTGAAAGGGAGGGGTGGCTTTTGGCTGATATCGATGGCTGTTTGGGTTATCGCCCCGTTCGATCCGACATCCGTTATCAGCGAATCAGGGCGGCGTACCGACGAGCTGTAGGTGCTTTGGGGGGGCGGAGAAGCCGATGGGCGATAGCTATTCGAATGAGGGCAGCAGAACAAGCCAGAGGCTGAAAGGCAATGGCCGGATAGCAGCCCAAGCCCACAGGGTCCCTTGATCCCTTGATCCCTTGGTGCTGTGCTAGTCAGTCAGGCAAATCATTGACCAGTCAAGCAGCTGGTTCCGCTGAGCGGTCAGTCGTGGCTGAAGGGGGCTGAGAGGTTGAACAGCCGAACAAAACATTTGGATGCTCACACGACAATGGTCATGGGTTGGCGAGGGCTGTCCAAGGGGTTCAGATGTTCAGCCATGGTCAAGGTCGTCGAGCGACAGTCGGCGGCAGGGAGGTATGTACCTAGGTAGGCATCTTGGCAAAAGTGACAACGAGGCGGGACCGGATCTGAGGGCATTTCGAAGTGCTGGCACGACAGCTCTGCAACTGGTTGACGAGTTCATGCTGGTACCCCAGATACCATCCAGAGCCGGTGCCTCCTAGCCCTGAGCTTGGGCCAATCGCCCGGGGCTGCCATTCTCAGCTGCCCATCCTCCTTCGAAGGAAGGCGCCGCCCTGCTCTGGACAGACGAGCCTTCCCTCATTCGGGACTGGACATAGTTTAGGGACCTACCGAAGGTTCCTGGGTACGGAGTAGTCAACGGCGCCTTTCCTCGTACGGCAAGAACGAGACAAGCCAAGAACAAAGTGTGAACGGGCAAGAAGGGACAGTGTGCTTTACAACGATATTGTATGCGCGGCAAACGACATTTGGTCGCCCAAGGTGTCGTAGCATCAGGCGGCATGCAAAGTCGCACCCTAGCACGTTAGTGTGTACCTACGCATCTGGCCGGCACGCAATTCGCCATCGAGTCAACTCTGGCTCAAAGTGCAAAGCTCACCTTTTGGTTCCATTCAGCAAGGCCATCACATATCATCCACGATATCCCTGGTCCCGACATTCCACTCAACGCACACCACGACTACCCTTCCTGCAGCTTCAGTCACCCTGTGAAATTTTCAACAATGCTGGTGACAACAAAAAGGGGAGCCAGCCGGCTTGAATCGACTCATGACGTTTTGGGCATCTAGCGCACCGAGGGCCCCGACACACGCCCAAAACACCCAAACACCCAAACACCCAGGCAGCCAGGCAGCAGCTCCCCTGAAATGCTGAGCATGAGACTCGAGACACCCGAAAAAAAGATGGGGGGCTTTACGGAGTTCTTGTCGACACCAACATCATCAGCTGGACAAACATCCGAGACCCCCACCATCCCAATTACGCTGACCCAGCCAAAGAAGAAAACCCCGATGACGCCGCTGGTTGAACGGGAAGCTTCTGGGGAACAGACACGACGTCGGGCCCAATTCCTCCATATTGCCCGTCCATTACACGGAGTACAATTGCCATCTAGTCATCAGCCATTGTCTTTGTTGGGTTCGCCAAGTCCTCGCATGCGATAAGCCGACGAACGTGCGGCGTACGTGCTGAGGCCGGCCATAACTCTACCTCTAAGGTTGTTGGCGCTCGAGCGTTTCGCATGTTCCATTGCAGTGACATGGCCAGATTCCAGACTGTTTCTTGCACTTCTGGTCTCCCCTCACCAGGATCATCGTCAGGTGACTTGACCCGGATGGCACCGCCTTGTTCGATGACGCTAATGGGGAATTGGAGGGAACCCCCCGTGAACATTTGCGAATACGTACTTGCAAGTTGAGGCTAGGGTCTTGAAGAAACAAACCAAATCGCAATTTGCCCCCGTTGGGTAGCAGTCTATTGGCTGATTACGGCACTTGATTCCACGACTAATCATACATACTTGAGTCGACACATCAGTACACGGCATGTTTGCTTGGCATTCGCGATGTCCTCTTGGGCTAGTTATTTGATGGTCTCGGGTTTGTACAATCCGAGCCATGAAGAAACTACGACGACAGGTTCACGGCGCTTATCAAACAGCAGCCAGCTGGCGCACCGTCACAGGCCCCCCGTGCAACTGTAGTCATATATGGCCAACCGGCAACAGCGGGCAACCAAGACGATGTGAAGACTCACGTCGCGTGTACGGCACCGTAATGGTTCATATCACTGTTACTGTTGCGGCCCGTCGGTGATCGGTGTTTCTTTTGCAAGTTCATGCTCTGCTTGAACCAGGACAAACGGGGACGCATCGACCACGTCCCTCCTTGGAGGATCCCAAATGTCACTCGCGGGTAGAGAACAAGGAATGTACATATGGTGCGCCGTGGGCCGAACCAGGGTCTCTTTCTTGATCATAGTGAACTTTTGTCACCAACATGATCAAGGAAGTCGGCGTGGGTCGGCGTTCATCATTTTCCAAAGTCTCGATCGATGGTTCGTTCCCGTCTCTGTCTCGACCATGCCACATGCTTGACCCATGACGCGAAGCGCAGTTGCCCGTTAATCCCGCCAGTGTGACAACTTTGCTGGGTGGTTGCTTGGATTATGCAGGCCGACCTTTGTTTCCCAATCTTGCTTCTGCCTTGGCCACTGTCATTCGACAAAGGCGCTCGCAGACTCTAAGCGACTCTGCTCATGACAGACGATGCTTATCACTGACGTCCCATTTGCTCCAGCGTATTATCATGCCGTCATACCCACCACGATGCACAATGCGGGGGAAAATATGGAGTGCTCCACGACGGGGGTGCCTGCAGGGTCTTGAACCGATTTCCCCTTTGCAGCTTCGTGACCCCTCTTGCTTAGCATCCTCTGCCTGCCTGTCACTGATATAGATGCGGTCGAGTTGGTAAAGCTGTCGAGTTACCAGCTATAACAATGGCTTTGCTGAGGAAGATGCTGCCCGAGTACTTACTGGATGCGCTCGCGAAGCGAGAGGCGAGTGTGGGAGGCTCTGTCTTTGTACAATGGACGAGCCTCTCATTGAGGGGAAACAGGCTTCTGCGATGCCAGCTAGAGCAAGGTAGACTTTGATGATCGCCTAGTCTAATGTGACGAGGTCATCAGCCACATGATGGAACCTATAAACATTTCATAGAGCTTACCAACATTCCAGCAGAGATAGGCGCATCAAATCCTTTGCTTGGCCGCCGCTATGCTTCTCGCCATTTGCGCCACTTGGTTTCTGACTTTCCAACACCATTTCCCCTCGGCTCTGATTCAACTGTCATGTTCTGGAGAGATGACTACCAACAACCCTGGCCGCGGAAAGTCTATCCCGGTCCAAAACGAAAGCGGGTGTAGCAAGCATGTCGAGCCTTGATTCTGGTTAGAACTCAAGTCTCTGTTTTATTCATAACCGTGTCCAATTTCGCTCTGCGCCTATAGGCATATCTAAACTGGTCGTTCGTTTCCTGTCGGGATTCCATATATTTGTTCTCTTTTCTCCACCGCCAAAGAAGGTCTTTAAAATGCTATGCCGCCACGACGATGAGAGGGTATTTCGCGGCCCGCATATGATCGCCTCAGCGGCATCGATGAATGTCATCAGTTTTTCACGCCGAGGCACCGGGCTCCATCCCGAATTTTCTATCGATGCACGAAGTAGCATCACCGGCTTCGGTGCGAAGCATATCGTGACATGATCTGCTGCCATGTTGGTCACATTTAACCTGGACCGACACGGCTCGAACAGCTAGGTCTGCTTGTAGTCAGTGATGCCAGGCGCATGGCGGTACAACAAGCACGGCGCAAACTCTGATCTTGGCTATAGGCAGCGATTTCAGGACTGCTTAATCACAAGTATTGTCGAACCGAGAGTCTATTCAGCCTGTGACGTGGAAGAGTCAGCCAGCAAGGCGGGCTCAGTTCATGAAAACGTCGGCGCGTTCCCTTGCTCGGCTTTTGAAAACGTATGGCAGCATGTTGTTCAACAACTGCGTACATCATGTTCAAGTTGGAAGCAAGCAAATGAAGTGAAAGGATACGAGCGTATGCCGCATGGACAATCACTGAAGGGAACAAAGACAGACATACATTTTGGAAGCCGCTTGTCGGTGTGAACCAAGCAACCAGCTTTCAAGGGCAATAAACCAAGCCTGTCATCTCTGTCCATTAATTCTTTTAAATATTCATGAATGACCACGTCTTTGTTGAAAAATCTTTACACACTCCCACGTGACACTCTCAAGAACGGCCTAGAATGCTTTAATACAAAGACACTCCTAATCCTGCAGAACAATTTCTCTGGCCTTATCCATAATTGCACCCTTCTTCTCTTCACTTCCCTCTTCAGACTTCACTCTTACTACACCACTTGAATTTTCACGACGTCAGATTGTTGAGGCGGCACCAACATGTCTCTGCAGCAGAACACCATGGAAAGCGAGAGACCGGATCCCAGCAAGAATTACATTGAACATCTGCCACCTGAAATCTTCGGCGTAATAATTGAAACATTCTATGAGATGGTGGCTCCGAAGGGTAGGAACAAGGCTCTCGTCCCTCTATGCAGCGTTTCCAAAAATTTTCTCGCCTCAGCCCAGCGACTCCTTTATCGTGATCCCGAGGTATATTCGACAATACCTAGTCTCAGGAGCGGCACCGAAGAGATATTATGGTGCATCAAGCGCTTGAGATTAATTGCTAGTGGCATCATTAAAAATAAGCAACTAGCAAACTATGTCAAAGTCATATCTTTAACTATCGACCGTAAAACGCGTCATGGCCCCGTCTTCATAAACAAGGGGGATATGCAATGCCTTGCGCCCATGTTGCCAGATCTCCAAAAGCTGGCAAATGAGACGCCCGGCCGAAGAAAATTGCTCCCGGTAGAAGATGGCGACAACATCATGGATGCATTCTTGGAGGCCCTTTGTGCTCTTTGCCCAAATGCCAAGCGAATATATCTGATAATGCCCACTGTCTTGCGTGGCTTCCCTCGACTTTTACGGCTCGCAAGCGATCTGGATTTGTCGCCAAGATTAATCTTGAGTCTGCCAGAACCAGAAGGCGAGGTTGCAAAATTTGCAACCTGGGAATTTTGCAGAACAAAAGGCAGTTTACACTTCACTCTCAAACTGCAGGAAAGCGCCTTGTTCTTGTATCGCGACATCATACAAGGTGCTGCCGTTTACGATCTCGTGTCGCTCAAGATTATAGCAGGGGAACAGACTTTGCCCGATGATGTTGAGGACGTCTTTTCAACGTTTAACACGCACAAAACCATTAAGGAGCTTACCTTGAGCTGGACTCCTCAGCACTCGGGCAATCCGTCGATATATCCAAGGTCGAGCTATTTTTCACTCGAAGGCCTCCAAAATCTCCAACGGCTCTATATCAAGTCCCGTATTCTCGAGGCAGCTCTCATGGGAGCGCCCAGTGGCTCTTTCGCTCGCATGCTCCCCAAGTCACTGGAAGCGCTGTATATTTGTGGCGATTGTGAGGACTGGCAACTTACCGCGTTGCGTGACCTGGCCCGGGGCAAGCCTCTGCCCAACCTATACTCCGTTCTCGTCGACAAGGTCGTTGGATCGGGGGATTTGCTAGACGAGTGCTGTAAGGAGATGGCATCCGCGAAGATCGGTTTTGGTTTCACGCCTAAGCAATCGGGGCAATAGGAGAGTCCAATTGAAGGAGGGGGTTAGGCTGATGATGCTAGACGGCGAATATTGCCATTTTGCACAGAAAGACGTCGCGCAGTTCGTCTTGGGCTTGTCCATTAGCGGCTCCGGATTTCATCATCAGTAACAAGCAAACCACCCAGGGGCGAGGAGCACAGCAAGAATTCCTGTAGAAACATGCATCAAGTCCAAGATCAACACACCTCATTGAATTAGTGGTTTCAGGTAATTGGGTGGACGGGCGAAATATACAGCTTTGTGCAAAGGGTTCATGATGGTGTTGACATACAGAGTAGATTCGCCCAAGTGACAGTTATCATCATGTAAAACTTCTGAGATGGAATTTGACGTAGTATTCAGACAAAGCATCAATGGCTTGTATATCCCCAGGCCGAGGTCGCAAGCGAAACACAATCCCATCCTCTGCAGACTGTACATGTATACAAAATCCTATTTCATCCCGACTTCAAAGCTGCCCTCCGAGCACAGCCTCCAGCACTTCAAAACAAAGGCTAGCAACGAAAGACACCTCCGCCGGTGAAGGTTTTGTGAAACATAGGTAATACTAGTTGCGAATAGCCAGATCGAGTTCTGTGATGTAGCTTAATGCCATGGCGGATGTCGTGGAATTTAGATTATATCTTCTCGGCCAAGTCCGCACCACATCATTGCAAGCAACTACGCGTCCATCGGTATACTGTCACAAAAATCTGTAATTTTCATCAATAACTAGCAAGAGGAAGTAGCAAACTTGCTAACCAGCCCGCCACTCACTAGCTACCAGCAAGCATTTGCAGCTCAGCAGACGACAACTCTGTTAACGCAGCAGCACCCTTCACAACTTCGCGTAGACTCACAAAGGATCTGACAAAACAAACGAGAGCCAAGCTCAGTGACTAAATAACTATCCCGTCCTATGCACAGCTCGCATACAATGCACATTCCCCAAAAGCACAAAAAGCCGCCTTTTCCACTGGCTTCCTCTAAGCCAACGAAACAACGCCTTGCTCAAAACAAAAAAATTATACATGTATATATGTAAGTATACCAAAACGGCCACTCCTCAGCCCGTTTTAGTCCGCGCTTGTGCCCAACTCAACTTCTTCCCACGCGGGGTTTTCCCATCGTTTGTGCTTTCATCATCTCCAGTAACATCATTGCTCTCGTCTGGTACGTCGCTACTTTCGCGCTTGCGGCCCGTAAAGACACTGAGTCTGTCTCTCAGTGAGGGGGCACCGGCTCTACGACGATCTCCCGATTCGACGCTCCCTGCACTCGTGGAGGGCCGGCTATCTCCTGCGCTGACGTTGCGGAGCGCCCGGCGGTGGTTGGAGTTGCTGAATCCGTGGCTAGAGGAGGGACGCATCAAGTCGATGCCAGCTTCGTTACGCCCTTCGATCGGTGTTGGGGGAGTGGTCATGGAAAGGAAACTCGGTGCGCTGGGGCCATTATGTGATGAACCGCCGGTTCGGTAAGACCGACCGCTGGCCACGCTGCTACTACGGCTGGTAGATCGAGGCGCCGGTATGCTACTGTGTGTGCTGCCGGCGCGTGCAGAGCGCGGTGGAGAGCGAGAGTAGTCGATTGGTGAAGTCCCATAGAAGCTGGACGAGTCGTCGCTATCGTTGATGCTCGCAGCGTAATGCTGGGAGGAGCCCGAGGTCGTGATGAGGACAGAGCTGTTTGCCATTTCTCGTAGCTTGCTGCGCTGCTCTGCGTTAGGTCGGTGCTTGGAGAACTTGTTGCCTATGATGGCACCTGTATGCGAAATCAAGGCCTTCACCACGGCTTTCTTCAGAGCAAGCGCCAGATCCAGGTTGGACCACGTCTTGTTTTGCCACTCAATCGTTGGGAGTCGAAACACAAAGTCATGGACGTCTTCAAAGTTGCGCTGGTCTTTGCCCTTGTAGCTCAGACAGAGAACCACTGACGGCATCCGAATGTATGCAAACGTCATGTAGTTGTTCGCTCGGTTAATCATCTTAGTGAGGTCATCCGATTGCTGCTTGTCTTCTGCCTGCGACTTTCCGCCTCGCCAACGAGATCCCTTCTTAGTTTCTGTGGAATCCTTGCTGTCCTTGGACGAGAATCCCGTGGAGGATCGCACCATCATGCCGGGTCGAGGCGCGCCGGTTCCTCGGAGTGATTCGTGAGACGCCTTCTTGGATATCACCGTCTTTCCCGTGTGTCCAGACCGGAATAGTCTAAACGCATGACCGCCTCCCTCGGAGCTTTTGACGCTGAGAGCCTTTTTCGGGCTGCTCTCCTGGACGTTGTTCGATGTCAATGTCGGTCTCAAACGCAATTCCAGGGATCCCGCTCGTGTACTAAACCCAGATGAATCCTTGTCCACAGCTGGAATGCCCAGACGACTGGCTGAGCTGTTCGTAGACTCGATATCGACTTCATCTGTGCTAGGAGCTTGATGCTTGACCATGAGAGGCGAGTCGTCCTTTGTTCCCTTGTCTTTATCCATGCCAGGGAAGATGTACTCAAACAGACGCTTGCCCGCTTCTCGCTCTAGTTGCACCTTCATTGGCACAAGTTTAACCTCGAAGCGATCCATCACAGGAATGCCTGCTATTGCTTCGAGCATGTGCCAGTACACCCGAATCATATCTTCTTCGGTGTCGCCTGTCGTGGCGTTTCTGTCAGATTCACTGTACGGTGCAATAATCTCCGGATACGTGGCGTCAGGTAGTAGGTTAAGACCAAGGACTTTTCCGACCCGAATAAGATTCATGTGAGAGCCATCAGAGTTATCGGTACGATCGTACTCGACGTCCTTGAGTTGCAGCTCAACGAGTGGCTCTGCAGAGTCTTGGATGAGATGCCACACAATGTCCCGCGCAGAAATACTCCACTTCAGTAACGCACTTGTGTCGCTATCGATTTCATATTTGCGCTGAGATGTAGTAATAGCCTTCATCATGAAGAAAAGTTCATCTTCACAGCTTGCCAAATCTCGTTCAAGGGCGAGTCTGTCTTCCCAGCCCTTCTTATCCAGATATTTAGAGTAGACCTGGAAATGGTGCTTGATGTCCTCCAACTGTCTGATACGCTCCTGGAGTTTCTGCACCATCCGCGGTGTTCCACTCAAATCGCTGAAGTCGGATGCGAGCATAATCTTCTCAAGTCGCTCACTGCGGGTCTTCTCCAGCGGCTCGCTATACATCAGCAGGTCCAGCACGATTACGTACATGGCATAGTATTGAGAACTGTTGCAAAGCGCTCGTGCTTGTGGAAATTCAACCCAGAGATTGTCCGATCGGCATTCGGCATTTTCGCTCGAGGCAACATCCTCTCCGCCATCTTCGTTGACCTCGTCGTTGTACTTCAGACGCAAGTTATTGTATTTGTCATAACGAAGCATGGCAGATGTCTTCTGGACAACACGTTTAAAGCCAAAAGGATCGGTCTGGAAATTGAACATGACCTCCATAGGAACCCATGGCGGCCAGGCAGACCCGTTCGGTGCGCCGTATTTGCTACCCGCATACATGGAAACCAAACTAGTCAGGAACCATTTTTGGTGGGTAACAAAGAACTGTGTACTGTCCATGTTTACGAGAAAACGGCGCTGGACCAGACCACTGACAGTATCAGAGATTCGTTCCTTGTCCATGACCTCAAGAACCTTGAGCTCCATACCCTTGGCGGTGACAAGAACCACATGTTTTTTGTTCTTTTCGCTTTGGAGCTGAATTTGCGGAGCTATCAATCGAACATGATAGCTGCTTTGGGGGCTGAATTCCTTCGCAATGCCACCCTCCAGGTCTTCAATCGAACCACAATTCACGTCGCCATTGGCGTCGAAGCTGGTGTCTGTGAAGCGTTTGCCGTCTTCGAGAATGCTTTTTATGCGATCCTCGAGGTCTGCAGCGCTATCTTTTTCCGGTACACTAGGACTGGGTGACGACGTACCACCATTGGTGGTTGAAGGGGCACCGCCTTTGGCAGTTTTGTTGGCCTTTGCCCTGCTCTGCTCTTCAACAATATCCAAGATGAATTTGACGGCGGGCCGTGACAGGTAATAGACGAAACCACGTCGTTGGCTGTTTTGGTGAATGTATCGAAGCACAATATTTCGCAGCAGGTTATTCCATTTGAGTTGCAAATTGTGAATGACAAATCGGTTCTTGAACTCGCTTTCAAATTCCGCGGTGGGTGGCATGTCAACAAGATCTTCGGAACTTGATGATGATGGCTCTGACGGTCTTCTGTGCCCATTGCTGCTTCCGCGAACTTTATTTTGCATCTGGTCAAGCATGGTGTTCAGGAATAGTTCCTTGTCTTTGAGAACGCTGACATGCTTCTTTAGTGCGTCGAAATGCTCTACAAGCTCAGGTTCCTCTCCATTGGTTTGGATCACCCTCAACTCTGCCTCGCCAATATTTCGGGAGTGCGTCTGCATCTGAATGGCTAGTTGATCCAGTCGTTCTTGGATTAGCTGGCTCTGGACTCGTCTTGGGTCGTCGTCATGTGTCATGATGCAGAAATGGGTGGGCTCATTGCCAAATGGGCTTGTTCGTGTCGGGTCGCCAGCAATAATCCCCCCAATGTCCGTTTGTCGGAAATATGTGAGACGAGGGGCAAATGCAAGCGGTAAAATTTTGGTATCAGGATGAGGTTCGGTGGGTAGAATCCAGTCCAATTCTACAAAATCATCCATGTCGATCCAACTAAAGTCGTTATCAGGGATGGTGAATCTAGACAAGTCGGGCTTATCATCCTGCTCAGTGATTAAAGTGGAAATGGTCCCCTTCCTGATGGCCTCTGTAGTGGTGCCTCGTAAGCTTGCTGAAACAGCACGAACATCTGCATTGGTGAGATCAAGTTGGGCTGCGTGAATCTTAATCCCAGACGTCCTACTCTGAGTGCTCTTTCCTTTGGCAAGTGTGTTAAACTCTTCTCTTCGTTGGTGAAGGTCAAGCATGAAGCTGTCAAAGCGGACTTTTAAGCCAGTCGCGGAAACGGCGTTCTCAGCGAAATCTTCGGCATCCTTGTGTTTGTAGATGTGACTGAGAAACAGGGGAGCCAGCAACAGGTTGTATTTGACTGTGGCAAGATGCCTTCCAAACTTTTTGCTACTCTTCTCCCGCCCAGGCCAGAGGTTTCCTTGTCGAATAGGGAGTGACATGGGCTGACCAAACAAACCCCACCACTGGAAGAAATGTGTAAAAAATCGCGGAGTAAGATGGACCGTGTTGTAGCTCCTAGATGGCTCTGTTTTCTCAGACATCCAGTCTCGGTCGACGGGTGCGCGAACTGCGATTGAAAGATGAATATGCCGACTTCTAAATCCCCTCAACGCGTCATACGGCAGACCGTCCGGATCAGGTTTCGCGTAGATTGGATTTTTCAGCACTACTTCATAGTGAGGCTTGAATGAGAAGCTCCTCTCCCCATTTTCGATGGCACGCTCGAACAACAAGCCCGCCATCCACTGTACTTTGCCCGAGAGTTTCATAATCACCTTCTTAAAAATGGCACCATCGGCGCATGTATCCCCAACCACACGTGCAGTCCCGTGGTCATGTCGACGGGCAGCTTCGCGGACTTGGTGGCTGTAGTCGGGGATTGCAAGCACGTACTCGCCACTATCCACCGTCATGAATCGTTTAGGATTGTCCTCGGCATTGATGTGCCATCTAATGTCATTGCGCCAGCACATTAAGAACCCGGCACCATTTCCAATTACTAGGTATGGGTCCCTAGTGCCCTTAAGAGACAAGTGCATGTCACCATCCCCCTTCCAGGCCACATGGACACGGGAATGTGTGTTGAGACGGAGTTTGTCCCAAAAGCCGACTCGTTCTGATGGGTCGACTTGTGGCTTCGTGAAGGACTCAATGACCATCATCATATCCTGGATGGCGGGTTGATAGCACGGACCCCATGTGATTCGTGTTGGCAGGGCCGTGTTGATGTCCATAAACACTTCCGAAAACGACTTGACTGGCCCGATGGTCCTTCGGACTTCAATAGCAAAGGAACCTTCTTTAGAAGACTTGGGGTCGCTAGATCGTGGGGGCACAACATCGACTCTGACTTTCTTCGTCGACTCATGTCCCCTGAATTCTTCCGCCAGTACAAAATTAGCCTTCAGAGACACGGACTGCAGTCTTGACGACTGTCCTGTTTTGAGACCTGGGATATGCAACAAGGGCAGCGGATAGTCGCGCAACGTCATGCGAGCTTCGCCCATTTGAATTGCAACGTGCATGGGTACGAGAAGCCCATACTGCATATCCTTTGGCATTCCCTTGCCAACCGTATGGATAAAGTCGGGCAAATCCTTCATTGCAAAGGACGGTTTGTCAATCATGAAGTGAAGCTCAGATATCAGTGCGGACATAAGGGCAGGGCGCTGAGGAACCTCTAGAATATTTTCCGTCTCTTCTACATCATCGGGTAAATGATTAGGGCCCCAGAAAGTCTCACGCAACTCACGCATACTCTTTCGTGACGTTTCGTAAGCCCGGTCAATGCGCTTTTTCCAGGACTGCGCGTTGAACCTGTGAAGAGCAGTATGAGCCTCAGCTTCAGACAGTTTGGAATTTCCATGGATGCCAACATGTTCTCGGTCGGGATCATATCTAGGCATGGTGCCGCCTTTAATCTCGTGACCAGTATCGTCGGCCTTGTAGGCATCCGCGCTTCTGCTTCTGAACCACGATGAGGCTGAATGCTCTCCACGGCCGCGAGGAAATGTCGATCGAGCACGAAGCTTTCCTCCGCCCTTGCGCAGTTCCTCATCCTGAACTTTCCTAGATTTGGCTTCAAAAGCTTCTTCCCGGGCCAGTCGCTGGGTTTGCTCCACCCGACCCGTACGGTAGATGATGCCTAGTTTCCATTCAAATGCACCATCTTCGAGCTCAAAGAGAAAGCTCCGCGAGCGGACGGAGACCTTGGGTACGTGTTTGGGCTCTTCGGGTTTCTTTTCAAGAATATACTCATTTGTGCCGGTTTTGAATCGATGGTGAAGCTGCTTTACTGATTTTATTACGTTGATAAAGTTATCCGTGATGCGGGAAACGATGACCTCATGTGGGATAGCGATACGAAGAGCTTCCGTGGCCACGTCGAACATCTTCTCTTCCACATAGCCACCTTGAGGGGCTTTGTGCTTTGACTCACGAAGGTCGACACGGCCATGCTTAATACCAATCATCCTTGACCACACATTACGCATGCGTGGTGTTTCAACGTAGAGCCTGATGACCTTTGAGGTCAAAAACGGCGTCGACCATCGATGACGTCCAGTCTCGAGCCCATACACACGAAGCATCAACAGCGGCTCGTGGGGCATTTCCGCTTTGATTTGGACCAAGGCTGCTTTGACATCGACTGTGATTAACTCCGACGGTGTCGTGGATGAGCCATCCGCATCTGGGACCCTTAAGCTACCGGGCGGCCGGAGGTGGTCCTTCTCGTACGTTCCGTGCTGTTGCGGTCGGGGCACATCTCGCCCAGTTCGCATGAAGGCCTTGCGCAACGTCAAAACGGCAACACCGACTGCGTAGTGTCGGTAGAGAGAATACTGTAGCATGATGGTCTTGATTGTAGACTGTATGTGGAACATTGGGCCATGGTTATCACTAGTAGCTGAAAAAGCCAATTCAAGGCGAGGAACATTGACAAACGGCTCGACCTCGAGATGATCTGAGCCCTCGACAATTTGGGCCTCGATGCCTTTTGCATACAGCGCTAGCCGACGTCCGTCCCCGGTAATCTGTGGTTTCTTCTTGAACCGGGGAGAAGCTGGTGACGGTGTCAAATCTGAGTCAGATTGTGTAACAGATCTGCTGTGAGTTCGCCGCCTGCCTGGCCGTCGCTGCAGACCATCTAGACGGTGCGCCCTGTATTCGGCAGAGAATGAGTCTAGATGTATGGTGACACCCCTGGTATCATCTGATATGTCCTCGTCTACACCAGCTACTTCGACATTGAAGTCTGTGGCTTCAATCTGGTACCTAACGAGCCAATCAGGCAGAGATCGCAAAAAATTCTGATGCTTTGCCGTCTTGGATTTGAATCGCTTCTCCGGTTCCACATCGATGCGAAGCTGCCGAACAATTTGGCGGAGCCCGTCCGTTATCTCAGGTCGCACCATGCTGATCCCAAATGATTGGATATTTCCGGTAAGCTCGACACAAACGTCAGGTCTCGCGGCTAAGTGTGCCTTCAGGTCGAAGGACTCCGTCGTAATCAGGTTGAACCTATCACCCGTACAAGTCTGGTAATATAAATGATGAGACTGTAATCTCATGGCTCCGTCCAGAAAATAGTGCATATCTTCCATGGTCGAGTGTGATGCCTCAACATCCAATGAAACAGAGGATATTGATGAAATAATGAGGTCAAAATCATCTGCATCTTCCGTATCCTGTAACGGTTTAAGCTTCATACGAAGAACCGGTTCGTGCATTGAGAATTTGATACTGGCTTTTGGAAGGAGTCTGGACAAAACACTGTGGTTTCTCACACGTGAGGATTTTGGTGCCTTGGGTTTGGGTTGCATCATGGCAATGAGGAGAGGGAGATGGGCAGGATCGAGATCCACGGACGGCGAGGTGATGACGGAATTGGCAAACATAATATTGGCATTCTTTTCGCCAATGGCGCCGTCCTCAGCCAACTGAATCGTTTTTGATGGAAGGGTGGTCCTAACTGTGGTGGTGGTCATGGGTATATACAAGAGTCGTTGGGGGGTGCCGTGACCATCGTCGATTCCAACAGAAAGGGATAGTGCGGCTGCGAGAGCCTCGTGGGCAATGTCCTTAGGTGAGAAGTACATGCGATGGGCTGGAGATTTCGGATCTAGACGGTGCAAATCAATGCCAACCTCCTTCATGGAGGCGTTGAGGAGCATAGGCGAGCCTTCAGGCTTGACAGATTCTATCCTTTGGGTCATGCCGACATAACTGACTGCGAATTGGACCTCCTTGATGCCCCGCAGGATTGAACTAACAAACTCTCTTGAATCTGTCACGGCCTTCATCAGGTCATCCTGTTGTGTGCCTTTATTGCCCGAGTCTTCGGTGACATGAGAGAGGACAATGTCTACGGGTTCGTCAAAGTCGACGGCGTTTGGTCGCCTGCGACAAGTTTTTAGTCGAGATGCGCAAGCGTTCAGGTCGTCGTACGGCACATGGACTCGGCCAAGCTTCAAGGAGATGGTAGCATCACGCAGGCCTTGCCGCGACTCGTACAAGAAGCCATGGACATTGAGTAAGCAATGGTCCAGGACCTCGAGCGATTCGCTCCCATCGGCAGTGAACAGAACGCTGCGCAAAGATATGATCCACTCAGCTTGTCGTTGCTCCTTCTTCCTCGAGTGAAATTTGAAGAGCCGGGCGTGGTCAACAATCTTCCTCCTCGTGTCAACGGCCACAGTAAGGCTGCCGACCTGAATGCTGCCCACGTCGACAACATTTATGGTCGAGTTGGTGGCGACCACATCAATCATTCTCAGCCATCGTATGTTTGTGTGTAGCTTCTTGATTCTCTCCTTGAGCTTAGCCAACCTTTCCCACGTTTCGCTTCGAGATTGGGTGTCGGCGTTTCGGCGCGGGCGCTGAGTCTTGGGCGGCGGCGCAGACTCATCAGGGGAGGCCTCGCTTCCGGACTTTTCGTCATGGCCGCCGCCGCCGTCGTTGTTGGGAGGCTTGTGTCCCTCAAGCTCGCGTACGTCCACCGTGACGGCCAATTCGTTCAAAACTAGACTTATCCAAGTTGGCTGGGCAAAAGTCGGTCGGTGTATGTTGAGCCCCAGCCCTCTTACCTCGACTCTGCAGCCATCTCGAGGGGTGTACGCGAGCCGGCGTAGCGACAGGTATCCGATTCGTTGGATGGAGACGCCAGTGAGGATTCGAATAACAGCGAAAAAGACAAAAGACGACAGGTACAGTAGGACGAGCACTCCCAGGAGGAAAGTCGGATTGAGAAGGGCCATGGTATGTGGATTCGTGTTTGGCCTTTGACCCCGAAGCTCAACATGTACCTGAGACTACAACCCGATTAACGAATGACTGCGGTTCTATGATGTTAGTTTCAGGACAAAGAGTACACCGGCACCCATATGGAACCGCAGATATGACCTACGTCGTCAATACAGGGGATTGGTCAACCCTTAGGGTCTGTCACTGGCAGGCACAGCAGCGGAGCGCCATGGTCAATATCACTTGTGTGCCAGATGTCAAAATAAACTTCGCGATGGTCGGGGTATCGAGGTTGGGCCGCACTGCACGGTCGATCGTCAGTGGTAGATGGCCGCGCCGAGCAGCTTGGCGACACAAATTTTCCGATTGCGCACCGATCCGAGTATGCCGGAACCCAAGGCCGTTCCCCCAGAACGTCACAGCCGAGGGGCGTGATGAGAGTGCAAGTAGTTGGAGGAGCTGGAAGCCCGGGATACGTGGCGGATGTGTCGGGGCGGGCTGGACGTAGTCCTGGAGCTGTTGGAAGCGGGCGGGCCGTCAATGGGCAAAGAGAGGCTTATGGCAGCAAACAGAATAAGAGGCCAGGGAAGCCTCGCAGGCGCGCAAAGGGCTTTGTAGATAACAGGAGAAGAGAGGCAATAGAGTGGGAAGACCCGTCGTCAAAGAAATGCATACATGAGATTACGGAGGTCGGAGAAAAAGATGGATGTACCTACAGAGTGCTAGGCAATCCTTTGGTTACATAGATCAATTGATCGTCGCCTGCAGTGCAGCGCTTGAGTTCAATGTTCGGGCGGCAGAGTGCTCTGGGGCGCCATGTCAGTGGAAGTGTCCGGTGGGCTGGAGCCGCTAAGCCGGGTACTTGGGTTCGGGGTAATGGTACTTGAGCGGTCCGAGGGCTCAGAGCCACTATGCACCAATGACCACCATGACGGGGCACGGGGCAGCGTGCGGATGTACTCCATACATGGATGCAAGTACTGTTCCTCAGAGACACTCCTTGGACAGGCGGACAAGATCGACTGGACATGGAGACTTCTGGCTTGACAACATCGCAAATGGCCAAATGGTCAGCAGCTAGTGTGCAGCCCGGCGAGTGTCGGACGCGAGGCAAGAATGGAGCGGAGATTGCTCGAGTGTGACGTGTGACGTGTGTCAATGTTGCTGTCGATGCTGCAGAGCCGCGCCCACTTGTGCTACTCTTGCTGCCAGTTGATATTTTGCATGTTGAGCAAATTCTGCATCGCACTGACACGCTTGAACAAGCACCGACCTCGACGCTGGCGCGGACCTGTCTCTCGATTCATCTCCGCCAACTTCATTCATGCAGTTCAGGGCAAAAGTCCAAGCCCCATGTCACGCTATCGGCCTGGCCTACCACTCTCTGCGCCATCGCAATTCAGTAAGATCCTTGTGTCTGGTCCCAATGTCCCATCCTCGTCATTGATGGGGATTAGTGGGCGTTGGTTCAAATGGCTGAGTCCCAAATATCAAGACGATACCACGGGCAACGCCACAAAAGCATCCAGTATGCTCCGTACGCAATAGTACTTTGCTTGGCCGACGACCGTGTCGGCATACTTAATCAGAGGTCTGATAACGCTCTAATGTCCGTCAGCTTGTCCTCGCCCGGGGTGCATGAGGTGTGGATGGTCAAGGGAGGCCTCATCGAAATCAACCCCCATTTTATCATGCCAGTCGGCAGAACACTCTGCGCCCCATGATCCATGTCGTATGGGTACCGACTAGGCTATCAAATCAACACCACGACAAATACCAGCGTGTCGCGACATCAGGCTCGCTTTGTTTAGTCAAGTACGGGCGACGGGGTCGTTGGCGGGATGGTCTGCGCAGCCAGCCTTGATATATAGCCTGGCGTATGTTCGACAGATATTGATAATATTGGACGACGGAACTATGTATTGCCATGGCACTAGTCCGACGGCCCTGCCATCTGGCATCTATGAATGTGCTAATCATTCCGACCTCCTGCTTCCTGGCTTCTTCCCGGTCCTGTCCACATTCAATGTTTTGACAGCGGGGCATTGTTAGCGCATTATTTGGTCAAGTGTGGGCTTACAGTATTTTAGCGCACAAAACTCTCCGTCAACTTCAATGCCGTTGATCGCGACCTACTCCGCTACCCTAAGCATCGGGCCAAGGAGTATTCTCAGAAGCCACAATGCGTGGATCGGTCATGTGTCTAGGTAACTTAGACCAGATGAAGAAATAGTCACAAGAATATTAATTCCTTCTTTTTCCCCTATTTTCTTCTCCTTCTCCTCCTCTTCTTCTTTTTCTTCTTATTTTTTTTTTTTTTTGGCCCTCTCATTTCGTTACACAAGCGACGGTAATAAGGCTCCTCTCGCTTGAAATTGCGAGGGATGCGTGATCCAGTCTGACGAAAGCTCCTTCATCAACAGTGGCAGGTGGCTGACTAGACAAAATATCACAATCGCAGAGAGCAACTCCCTGTATGACGACAAAGTACTTCGGGTATTTCACACACTAGAATAGCTGATCCACGAAATGATACAATAGCCCACCCTAGACCCTTATGATGTTCCCTTCCGCGTAGAACACAATGTCATGTCCCTGACGTTACAAGCGTACCCCCTCTTATGCCACGCTTCTGATTCAGGCATTGCTCATCCCCCACGATTCATTTGTCTCCATTTCTCTTTGATATCTTCACCGCGAGGCATCTCCAGCTTGGCTTCGACCCTCTTTTTCCTCCTCAGCAGCTTTGAGTTCGGCAATTCGATCATCAATCAGAGCAATATCCACTTCTACTTTCAAAATTTTCTCCTTCATCATATTGATATACTCCTCATCGGTCAACTTTTTCAACGGGCTCAGCTTTGAAAGCCAACTGCTGCCGTCACTACTTTTGCTAGCCTGTGATGGTGTCGAGCGATTGGCAATTGCTTGCCCACCTGCTCCTACTAAACCCCATATAACCATTGCTGGCAATAGTCTCGCAGGGCCACCTGTCAAGAACCATCAGCTAGAGGAACGCAGTGAAAGTACTTGTCAATGTGAAGGATAATACTCACGAGCCAACCCGGCCACGGCTCCCGCTGTCGAACCAGCCAAGCCACTGACACACACTTTGTCTGTTGTTGTCATTCTTTCTTCGCCCCCGTACACTTTTGTTCCTACAGATCTGGTGACTGCATGAGCGTTAGTCATGATGATGGCCATCTGGCGAGATTGAAGAGTTGCCATATAAGACTTGACCTACACCAGAAGCTGCTGCCCAGCATGAACCATTGTACTCCAGAGAATACACCGCTAGCCACAGGGCTGGTATCTCTGGCAATTGCTCCGCCTACTCCGGCCAAAACGCCCGCCGTACCTGTTTGTGTATTAGACAAAATTTTCTCAGTGATGCAGAGATGCAGAGATGCAGGACAGTGGATGTTGACATACCCGAGTAGACACCTACTTTTAATGGAGGCACAACAAGCTCTACAAATTCGGGAGGAAAGAATCCTGGCCTTTGTGGCCTCCGTTGCACGTTTGCTGTTCTGTCATCACCGTTTGATGCCATCTTGAAAGGCTTTGCTCTGGCAGAGCTTATGCCAAGACTTGGCGGCGCTCTTGAACAAAGTATTCGCTGGACCCCGAGGCAAAATTGAGGCCAGCTTCATGAAAGAACCATGTTCAGTCCCTGATATGCGACGCGGTAAGGGTCAGATGCTCATAGCTGTCTTTTTTTCGTTGGCTCAGGTTGGTTCGTTGTCGTTGACCTTGAGATACCGACTGGCAACTTGCAACTTTTACGGAGTACATGGGGCCATATGTGGTCCGAGGTGGGTCTCGGCATGAACGCACAAACCCAAGGGCCTTGGTCTGGTTGGCTGGACTACTAAGACTTCGTCTCTACAGCACCACCAGCTCGCTGTAGGTGCTGACTCCGTCCCCGGAACGGCCCAATAGGAGCTGGACCAAAGCCCCAAAGGCCTTCAAATGTTCAAGGTGCAAGCTGCCCCTCCCCGTCAAGCCGCACATCGGCACACCTGGACTAGAATTAAATAGGACTAGCGCATCCCACTCCCTGGCTGGCGAAAATTGAAGGCAACCCTCACATACTCCAGCATTTTTTCCACGCTCGAGCAAATTTCGACTCGAAACAACCCCAGACACGGCAACGCTCGTCGGGGTCTTGTCAACTATCGCGATCGTTCCGATCCCGCGCCAATCCCCGGCTTGGACCAAAAAAGCAGAAAATCTTACCTCGTTCGGAACCAGCGACATTGTCCGTCGTCCCCTTTGCCCGCTTGACGAGGAGAGAGCTTCTCGGTTCGGCTCTTCGCCTGTCGACTTTTGTCCTGCGCGCATCGGTCTTTGACTCGGTTGCGCGTAGCCGCCCACGCCGCAATCATGGGTATGCCCGACCCCGAAATACCAAAGACGGACTCACCAACCAATTCAGAGCATGGCTGACGATTTTATTGTGCTGCAGCTCCCAAGAAGAAGGAACAGCAGCAGAAAATGTCCCTGGGGGACTTTCTGACTGATAGTGGTGCGTTGCTAGTCGCGGGGCCATCACGAACCCCGCCGCCAACCTCCCCATGTCATGTTGTGTCGTGTCCGTTTGCTAATCCAATATTCAGGTTTTGGAGGAGGGTCTTGGGCTGATGAAGTTGAGGAAACTTATGGTGAGTCGGATACCCACGCCGTAGCATGCTGAAGCCAAAGCCACTGACACGGACCCTCGCTTGCAGTCACCGGTATGATTGGACTTCCGATATGTCGCGACGCGTAGCAGTGATGTTAATAGCAATGTGTAACTAGGCACTCAGCCTCTACCCCCTAGCGACCGACCTCGCTTTGGAGGTGGCAGCAGTGGCATGTCGAATTGGCAGGATAGAGGTCAGTACTTGGCAGATATTCAGTCTTCAGCTTTCATCGCTAACCGCAAGCCAGGCTACTCCTCCATCAGGGAGAACCTTCCTCAGAAACTTCCCGATAAGCCCCCTTTCACTGCCCACCTTGGTAACCTTGCCTA